ATAATCTTGCAAAGTTAAACAGTCAAATGTTAGGGAAAGAGAAAAGAAGGTTCCTGTTTGTGGAATCACACAGGCAAATACGTGATTGCTCCCACCTCCTCCTTCCTTCACTCCCACCACCCGCTCCTCACCCCTCATTCAGCAGCCTGAACACCTGGCTGTCTTGTCTTGCACTGCTCCTCTCCATGAGAAACAGCACAGGGAAAAGCACGTATGACTTAACATGTTACCCTTTCCAGGGATGATTTGTAATTTTAGAAGAGGTTGAATAAAAAGACAAATTTCAACCTAATGGAGTTACTCTTCTGATGGTGAAATTGTAGGGACACCCGTAAAGCATCTTCTCAGTGCTCCTTAGACAACTCCATGAAGGCAACCAGTAATCCCACCTCCATCTCCGTCCATCACTGGGGTTGTGAGGCACAAAGGGAGGGATGGCTGTTGGTGGCTCTCCAGTTGCTCATCTCAGCTCATACAATTTTGTCTCCAGAGAAATAAGCAGCATGTGTGGTGGTGAGCAGGCTAGTCAAGACCAGTGTTCTGTTCGCCAACCCTCCTCCATCTTGCTTCCTGAAAATTCTGCCCTCCCTTGTCCTGGACTGAAATCGATGGTGCAGGACAGAGGGGGAGAATTGCTGGAGAAATGCCATCAGGAAGGCAATAGGGAAAGGGGGCTGGAGCATCTTAGCGAGAGTGTCACCTTAGCCAGGGAGGGACAGGCCAAGATCCCCCTGAGTACCCATAAGAGAGGCCAATATGCAGGAGATGTAGCTAGATCAGCAGGGGATGGCAAGGACGTCTGGAAGCATTCTTCCAGTTGCTTCTCTTCCCTTTATGTAAAGGGGAGCCAGCCATTATTTGCCAAGAGTGAGGGCAGGAAAGATATGGAAAGTTTGAGAAAGAAAAAGCACAGCACAGTTATCCAGGAACTCAGCTTCCAGAGGCTATCCTGAGTCTCTAATGCTTGAGCTGGGTGCAGATGGATAAACAGAGTTTGCTAGATTTAAAAAAAGGTAGAGCAATCTGTGCAAAGGAAATAGCATAGCAAGGGGGACAGGGTGACTAGTGGTGTCCTTCACTGAAAAAGGAATAGGGGTGGGCTGGGTGCAGTGGCTCACACATGTAATCCCAGCTACTCAGGAGACTAAGTCAGAAGAATTGCTTGAACCCCGGGAAGTGTGAGCCAAGATCACACCACTGTACTCCAGCCTGGGTGACAGAGCAAGACTCTGTCTAAAAAAAAAAAAAAAAAAAAAAAAAAAGGGAATGGGGCATGGTGGGGAAATGAATAGGTTACAAGCGCCTGTAAGACATTGGATCAAAAAGTCCATTAGATGGTTAGACATGTTATATGTAAATTTTCAGGGCCTCAAAAGAAGTAGCACCCAAATATTAATTTTCTTAGCAAGGCAATTTACCTCTCTAGAAGGGTGTGTCTCACAGATGGAGCAATGGTGAGAGCACACCTGGACAAGGGAAGGGAATGGGGTTCTTATTCCTGACGCAAGTAGCCCCTACTGCTGTGTCGTTCCCCAATGGCTAGGGTTGGACCACAAGGTCTAAACTAATTCTGATTGGCTATTTTAAAGAGAGCAGGGGTACAAGCCACAGTGGCAGGGTGGGTAGTTTGGTGGGAAGAACAGTTAGGAACAAGTCAGAGCAGGTGACCAGGGGAACAGATGTGAACTGCTGATTAGCAGGAAGGTTGTTGACTGAAACTAGAGGCAAGGGGCACAGAGGACCAGGAAGTTAAACTTTAAAATGGAGAACTGAATAAGAGAGCTGAACATACTGACATACTGATTCTTTGAAGAGAAACTTGGAGTTCATTATATCTAACAGACACACAGGACTGGAGCCCGGCAAAGAATTCTGGTCAGGAAATGTCAATGTGAGGTTCACTAATAAGCAGGTGGTTATCAGTCCAGATCCAGGGAGAGTTCTCAGGAAGAGGACAGCAGAGATCCAGCCACTGAATTATGGAAAATGTGGCCATTTAAGGGAGGAGCAGTAGAAGAGGGAGGAAAGAAGTGAGAGGATTCCAATCAGGAAGATAGGATTCAAAAAGAGAGCTGGAGAGAAAAAGTAGCAAACTGCAATCCAAGAAAAGATCATTTCAGGAAGACTGTGGGTACTAAATGTCACACGAGGCATAGGTAGAAAACAGCCCATCAGATTTAGCACCATGGAAGTTACTCACCTTCCTAGCTGTACCAACCTCTCTACGACGGTCAGGCTGCAAGGCAACTGGCAGGATGTTGAGGGGTAAATTGTGGCAAGAGTCGGGACAGTGAGTGCGGAAGAGCCTTTCTAGAAGGTGGTTTGGAAGGAAGGGAGGGAGGGGAGATAAAAGCTGAAAAGGACTGTGGGGCAAGGAATGGCTTCTGGTCAGGCGGAAACAATTTGAGCCTATTTATATATGCAAGGGAAACAGCCAAGAGAGGGGTACAGTGGATTCAACCAGCACAGCAAATAAGCTGGGGCTCCAGTAGTGAGCAAAGCTATGTCCCTGCCCCCAAGGAGCTTATAGTCTGGCGTGAAGAGACAGAGAATGAGCAAATAAGCAAATCAATATGTAGCATGACGAGTGCCAGTATACCCCACCCCAGTGGGCAGGGGAGGGAACCGAAGAGGGTGTGTGCAGTGTAGGGGTGGCAGGAAGAGCCCCCTACTGCAGTGACCTCTGCCGCACAATTTTTTTTCCTAACACTTGCCTAACAAACTGTGTGCAGCCTGGCGTCGTAGTTACGTGGTGTCTCTCTCCTATGACACACGGCAGGGGTTTCCACTTCCCCGTCTTGGCCATGCCCACATTAGGGTTTTCTGCAGAGAAGGCTGCCCACGCATATTTGTAGTAGGAATGCTACAAACCCTTGCCCTGCAGTTAGGACAGGCGCTATCAAAACAATCTCCTCCCGGACCCGGGGAATTCTCAGAAGTGGCACCTAGTAACCTAAAATGACTTAAGCAAATTGTCTGAATGCCTAAAGGGTACAAATTATTTCATATTCTCTACACATTTGCAAGTTTACTTAAATCTTCTTGTTTTAGTTTTAACTTTACAGTTCACTTTGGGAATGGGTTTAGGGGAAGAGAGAAAGAAATTAGTCTTTATAACCCTGCTAAACTCTGAATCCTACCTCTTGGTAAGGCATCATTTTAAAAGGTTAGAAAAATTTTTGTATTCATTATCACATTTGATTTCCCCACTTGATCTGCAGAAAAACGGTAACTAGGGGCTTCCTATTGGTTCACCGTATTTTCCTTTGGTAGAAATTCCTTGTGTCTGATAGTCTTTAGGGTCCTCTTTGAGACTAAGATTCCCTTTGAAGTGAGATGGGGTTGGCCCCTTTCCCTATCCCAGAGCCCAGCACGCAGCACACACAGAAGAGGACAGAAAACAGAGGTGAGTCGCTCTCATCTCCATATTCTGTTCCTTCCCAGGGAAGATACTCTGTTTTCAACCAAAAAACAAGATCATTCTAAATGTCATTGCTCCACACCCCATCTGGGCTTCTGAAAGCAAGCTGCCTTGTTTCTGAATCAGATGTCGTCACCCACTGAAAAGCCTCGTGCATCCAAGCTTGGCTGGCAGTGGGGTCCTGGCTTGAGGAGAGAGACTCACCTCCCCCAGCAAAGCTGCCCCTGTCATTTCTTTTGAGAAAGGAAGAGGATGGGGAAGGACCAGCAGCAACAGAGAACGATTTCATCACTGCCTCTCTGACCTTTTAAAGAGTAAACAGTTAAAACAAATACTAACGGGCTTGTTTCTATGGGCTTGAATATTTTACAACCTGTAGAATCATGTGACACACTGTCATTTTTGTGGAACTCCTAGAAGGGACAGAAGGAAATAAACATAGCTATGCAGTCATTGGCCGAGACAGGTTTCACAGCTAGAACCCAGGACACGCGGTGTCTGGAGGGTAACTCATGGCAGGCAAGAGGCAGAACCCGCCCTGGAGTGCTGAGTAAAGATGCTGAGGAAGTCATGCAAGGATCTGTCATGAGCAAAAATGTCAGAGTCCTCCAGGATGTGACCACATTCTCATTAACCCTTGCCACTGAGCCTCCTTCAAGGTATGATGCAAAAAAAAAAAAAAAAGCCTCAGGAGGAGAGGAGGCAGAGAGGTGCAGAGACCCACACTTGGCTGCAGGTGAGAACTCTGGCTATAAATAACCCATTGCTTCGTGGAGGAGGAGGGCCACAGTCACCCCCAGGAACTCATACACTCAACTCCATTCGTAAAAATTTCCAATGCAATCAAAGGATTTCAAAACACAGACTTTCATTTCATCTAGTATTCCCGCAGAGGGAAGGGAAGCCATGAGAAACTCCTCGACTGGTGGCCAAACGCATTTCTTCACAACCTGAAGCGATGCAGTAGCACATGGCTGGTTAGAGCCTAACATCTGTGAAGTTTTCCAACAGAGGTGTTATGCCATGAAAAGCTCTCATGCCGCAAGCAAAAAGAAGATTGTTGTAAATTTACATTCAACATGTAAAAACACATCATAACTTCTGTACATGATAGAGCCGTGTATATGTTTGTGTGTGTGCTTTACAAAACAAAAATTTACATATTGTCTACCATTGAAGGGACTGAGGAGAGACTGATGTTTAATGAACATCCACAATGTGCCAGGTGCTTTGCAAGCGTTATCTTCTCATTTCATCCTCACCACAGACCTAGGAGGCATAGACTATTGCTGTGACCATTTTATGAGTGAGGAAATGAGGCTCTGAGAGATTTAACAACTTGCCTGAGGTCACACAGAAAGCAACCTTTGTACTGCCTGCTACTTGGAGCTGCCTCCTCAAGTTCCAACAGTTTTGTTACCTTCTCCTGTACACATCTGTAAATCTTCCTGCTAAAGTCATTTTTGTGGTTCATGGCAAAATGCTCCCAAAAGAACTGAAAGAAATAGAAAGAGTCTTTGTTAAGTATAGAAATGACAGGTCATTTCCAGAAGATACAGTACAAGAGTTGAAATTCATCATTAATTAGTATCTCATGTCTACGGAATGAGATGTTCTTCTGTATCACATTTAGGAGATACTTAAGTTATAGTCCAAGCACAAACTGAAAATGACCTGTTCTACTTTTTATTCACAACTTCCCTCACAGTTCTTAGACGGTGGTCTCAACTGTGACAGTATTACAGTTGTCTTCCTGGCGCCTGGGTTGCATTTCATCTTTGAAAGCCCTCGTCAGAACAACTTTTAAGGACTCCTTGAATCGCTTCTTCTTACTGCTTCCCACAAAGAAGTAAATGAAAGGGTTGGCACTACTGTTGATGGTGGAGAAGAGCAAGGAAATGTGGTGGAGATTCCCAAAGGTGGACCAATATTCATAGTACAGCAGGTACAGGAGTCTCATGGGCATGGCGAAGATGAGGAATATAATGATGGTGACCATGATGACAATGTACAGCTTGGAGGAATGAGAAGCCCAGGTGTTCTTCCGGATCTTCACGACCAAGATGGTGCTGGACACCAGCATGAGGGGCGTGAAGACCAGGAAACTCAGGACGGCTATAAAGATGATGACTGCCCGGCAGTCACTTCGAGAGTGACTCTCTTCTTCTCTGTCAATGCACATGACATACTCCATGGTGGTCACCAAGCAAGAAAGAGCCCACAGAAGGGCACAGACCAATGCCGACTGGTACTTGGGGCGATGGCATCGGTACCAGATGGGGTAAAGGACGGACAGGCACCTCTCCACACTAATGGCCGTCAGCAGATAGAGACCCGTGTTGTAGCCAAACAGAAAAGTCACTGATAATGTGACAATTGTGTAGTAATGGCCAGAAGAAAGCTCATAATCTAAAGCATAGTCAATAGACAGGATGAAAATACAGAAGAGCAGTGAGATGTCTGCAATAGACAAGTGGGTGATGTAGACGGTGAAGGGATTTCTTCTCATCCGGAAGCACAGGAACCAGAGGAGAATTCCATTCTCAACAAACCCCACTGGGGAGATGCTCATGATGACCCAATGCACGATGGGGATTTGCCGATGCACGTTCCCGGCTGAGGCATTCCCGCTGGTGGAGAAGTTCGTAGGTTCCTCAACAACAAATGATGTCACGTTTGACCCATCCATGAGGAGGCCTCAGGCTGGACCTCTTCAGGTAATTTTCTAAAAATGTGTCCAAAACAAAAACAAACACAAAAAGCCATGAAAATTATTGGATTGGAATAAAAGGGAGAAATTCAGCTATAAATCATCATCTTCATGTTATTAAAAAAAAAAAAGTTTAACAGAATGTACAATTATCTTTAGCACAATGATAAGATTAGACCTTTAGGACCTGATAAGAAAGATAACTTAGACCTGATAAGAGAGAGAACTGATTGAATGACCCTTTCTGATCCCCAGTGATAGCCATTCATTCTGTATTATTGTCTGCTTGTAGCCAGGCAAGAGTGGTGGAATCCCCCGTGGAGGATCCATTTCCAGTTCTGGCTCAAGCTCTCCTAATGCGTTTTGAAAATCACCTTCTGTGCCTCCATTCATTTGCCAGAGGGACCAGGTTGACTGCATCGAGACTTGATGACAAAATGCACGTTTGGGCAGTGCTGCCATTCTGTAACACATGGAGCGCCATAAGCAGTGGGTAAGGAGAGGGAGTGCCTGGGACAATGGGTTTAATACTGTACAAATATTGCTTAAGGCATGAACAATGGAAAGGCCTTTATTTTACACAGCTTCAGTATCTGCGACAAAGCTGGGCACCTGCGCAGACTACGTAAGCCAGGCAAACCAACGCTGTGTGGACTGGATGGAGAACCCTAACAAGATGTATGTTCGTCCCCACAGACCACAGGCCAGATGGTGCAGGAAACACCATCGCCAGACACCAGGTAAAGCGCTCACTCAAACCAGGAAAAATGCTCAGCATTCGAGGCTGCAAAGTAAAGCTTCTCAGAAACTTTCCCCCACACTTTACCAATTACAAAATGGATATATGCACAGCTCTGCCCTCTTGCTATAACAAAACACCCCACCACTGGGAAGGAAAAGGAGGCTGTCAACAGAGATCATTTCCCTTGTTTCAAATCTAACTTGTCTTTGGCTTTTAAAAGTGATTTTTAGGCTGGACACCGTGGCTTATGCCTGCAGTCCTAACACTTTGGAAAGCCAAGGCAATTTGTTCTTTGCTTTCTGAACTTTGTCCTTAGGAAGTCGATCAAAAGAATATTTTTGATGAGTAGATATCTGCCTTTTTCCTCATGAGCTCACCTGAAGCAGAATAATATATAAATGTGTTATTTTGTGGCACTTGAATGGCTCTGGTGATATTAGATGTTTCCAGAACTGAGTCAGCAGAGCCCGGCACGTGCAGGACCCTGGGACTGATCTCAGTACAGCCGGGCCTGGATCCTGGGCCAGCAGGTGGCCTTTGTGTTGGTGAAATGGGTGTTTCCTTCCAGCGATGTGATCCAGGCACCCAGGAGGCCCCTGCTTCCGTGGTCCCGATCACGCCTCTCCTACTGACACTTTGCTCAGCTGTTCTGGTATGATATAGGAAATCGCTTTCACTGGAGGAGAGCCTCCTTTTACTTCATAGTTAGAAGACAGGGTCTCCGACAGGAACCCACACAGGATGAGAGCTCACATTCCATGTCATGGCTAACCAAAGACACCACGCCAGACACTGTTCTAGGCTCTGGGACCCGGCAGGAAATAAAGTGCCGAGCTGGTGGAGTCTATGTTCCAGTGGGGAGGCGTCGATCAGCAAAAGCAATAAAACAGCAACAGCAAACAAGCTGATGTCAGAGAATCAAAAGTGCAAGGAGAAAAGGAAGGCAGCATTAAAGGCAAGGAGCGGCAGAGGCTGAGGTTCTGGCGTCCATAGAGTGATGGGAAAGGTACACACGTGGGCAAAGACACGAAGGAAGCAGGCGACGTAGGCCTGCAGGTTCTCGGGGAAAAGCATTCCAGGCAAAGGGAACCACAAGTTCAAAGTTCCAGAAGCAGGCGCCAGCCAGGAATGAAGAGCCGCAGGAGGGCCAGCGAGGCTGGGAGGGCCTGGCAAGGACAGTCAGGTGCTGAGGGCAGGGGTCTTTGGCGGTCAGTGAGACAGTAAACCGCAGGAGGTTCTGAGAGGTCTGAGAGGAGGAATGTGGTTAACCTGAGGGGACTGAGGCGGGAACAGCCTCGGCGTGGCCTCTGTGTTCAGGTGACGCTCTAGGGGCCATGGCAGGAAGGAAGAGGCCCGGTGGGAGGGGAAGGCACTGTGCTGGACTCAGGGGGGATGTCTGCATGGACCGGGTTGTGGCAGAGGCAGTCATATCTGGTGCGAGGCCTTTGATTTGATTCACTGATGGAAGACACACGTGTTGTGGTAGAAAGAGAGACTACGTGGTTAGCCATTTGCTGAACAGACAGGTGCAGGTGCAGCGGGTTAGCAGGGGCTTAGGGGTTTGAGAAGCCTGCGAGGCAGCCAGGGCCATGTCCAGAGGAGCGTCAGGAGCTGGGGACAGTTGTAGCCTGGGGATGTGAATGTGGGTGCTGTATGCAAGCAGGTGGAATTTGAAGCCACGAGTGTCTGGGCAATATGGGCAATTAAAAAGGAGAAGAGGTTCAAGGACTGGGCCTCGAGCATTTCAAAATTAGAGGCTGAAGAGAGGAGGAAGAAGACGAGAAACCTGAGGAGGGCCTGACGAGACAGGAGGACAACCGGGGGAAAGGGGCACCCAGGAGGCCAGGTAAGAACAAGCTCGAGGAGAAGAAAGGGTAACCAACTGGGTGAAATTCTGCCGCAAGTTCAAGTGGGCTGAGACCTGGAACTTGATATTGACCATGTGAGTGGAGCCATTGCTGACCTCGGTCAGAGCAGTTTCAGTAGACCCGACAAAATGAATGCCTCATGCAAGTGGTTTAGAGAGAACGGGAGGAGAGTAGGTGGAGACGGTGAGTGTAGACAACGCTCTTGGGGGCTGTGGGGTTAAGAGAGGGGTGATAAACGGATAAGAAGTATCCAGTAAAAAGCTAACAGTTGAGGAGTCGAGAAGCAGGGGTCTAGAGCTGGGTGGAGCCACGGCCTTCGCCAGAGCATAATTTCTACCTGGTGAAGGAGAAGGCAGCGTGTGTGGTTGCAGATGCCGTGAGGCGGGTAGAGGTGGCTGTGGGAGTGCCCAAGGTGAGCAGCTGTCTTCTGAACGCACAGTATCTCTTTATCAGCAAAGTAAGGAGCAAGGTCATCGGCAAAGAGTGAGGAGATGTTAAGGGTTTAAGGAAAGAGGGCAAGATGTGAAAGAAATGAGTGAAAGAAAGGGCTAGGGACATACAGGAAGCGCAGGACCTCCCGCCAGGCTAACCTAGAGCCCGCCCAGGCTGGTGCTCGGGAAGCCGGGAGAGACCATTCAGCCTCTCCTGTGCTGCTCTCCAGCTCAGTTCAGCTGTCCAGGAGCTGGCATGGAGAAAGGGGAGGGCTGGATTTTACCAGGGCTGGGGGCTACCAGGCGGGTACGAAGCAGAGCTGGGGGCAAAGGCAGCGAAGCATGTGGAAGCCAAGGGCTACGATGGTGGGACGTGGAGCCCGATGGGATTAGGAGAAAAGTGAGGGCACCAGGGAGGTAACAGATGTGATCAGGAAACAGCGACACATCAGAGGTCCCAGTGGTGTCAGGGAATCATTGAAGTCCCCATACTAAAGGCACTGAAGGGGACTTTGGAGGTGGGGGCTGAGGAACACGATGCTTGAAACTGAGCTTGGGGCAGTGTAGTTTTAGGGTTACCTGCATTAAGTGCACAGCATGACCATGGAAAAGAAGAGCTGAGGGAGTGTGGAGGACAAGATCATCTGAGCTGAAAGCAGAACCTGGAGACGCAGGGCTGGAAGAATCATCCACAGATGTTGCAATTGCTGAGAAATAGTGTTGGAGACCAGAAATATCAGTGGAAAAAATGGCTGTAATCAAATCATCAGGGAATCTAGGAGAGCAGAGCAACCCAGGGGTCTGAGTGGCCACAGCAAGGACAGTGGGTGGCGACACAGTGGCCAGCACACACTTCAGAGCGGGTGTTCTGTTGCTCCTGCTGCTGCTGGTGTGGAGAGATGGAAGGAAAGTAACTCAGAGTACACAAAAGTCGGGGTAAGAAGGGCCTGGACCGCGCTATCCAACAGAAACACAGCAGGTGGGCCACCTGTGTAAGTGAAGTAGGAGCCACATTAAAGCAAGTAAAAAGAAACCAGCAGAATCCATTTTAATAACCTACTTTATTTAGCCTCATGTGTTTAAACTATTATTTCAACATATCATCAACACAACAAATATGTTCTTTTCTACACTGATGTATACTTAGCAGTCCCCCAGAGGCGGTGGGTATTTCACCCTTGCAGGGCACCTTGCTTCCGATGAGCCCAGTTCCCCACGCTCAGGAGCCTCATGTGACTCGGGCTCCCATGTTGGCCAACACAGGTTGACAGCCATGGCAAAACCGAAGTTGCTTATGCAAGGAAGCCAAGTGCCTTCATCTTTTAATTACAAACCTAAACCAAAGACTAGAAATGTAAAATCAGGACGTCTTTCTGCCTCCAGTCCAGGCCCTGGGATTTCTCATCGACCACGTCCTTTAGCTGCAGCTTCCTGCTGTGTGGAGAGAGCTCTCAGTGACCCCAGGTCGCCTCCCCGTCTCCGTCATCTAACTCACTCATCCTAGATTAAAAGCATGCTCCATTTCCACCACTGACCCATCCTCCCAAGTGACCTGTCCTACATTTTCCTTTCACAATACTAGTTTCTACTTCTGTATTCAGTTTTTCTTCCTTTCCCCAAAAGTTTCCAAGTAAATTCACAAAAGTCAGCTGGGAAAGGTGTTTCAGATAGTATCTTCTTTTGAAATCTTCTGTATTTTTTTAGAGATAAGGTCTTGCTCTGTTGCCCAGGCTAGAGTGCAGTCCTGTGGTCATAACTCACTGCAGGTTGAACTCCTGGGCTCAGGTAACACTCCTGCTTCAGCCTCCCAATCACTGAGTCTACAGGTGCATGCCACCATACCTGGCTAATTTTTCTTTTTTTCTTTTTTTTTTTTTTTTTTTTTTTGAGACGGAGTTTCGCTCTTGTTACCCAGGCTGGAGTGCAATGGCGCAATCTCGGCTCACCGCAACCTCCGCCTCCTGGGTGCAGGCAATTCTCCTGCCTCAGCCTCCTGAGTAGCTGGGATTACAGGCACGTGCCACCATGCCCAGCTAATTTTTTGTATTTTTAGTAGAGACGGGGTTTCACCATGTTGACCAGGATGGTCTCGATCTCTGGACCTCGTGATCCACCCGCCTCGGCCTCCCAAAGTGCTGGGATTACAGGCTTGAGCCACCGTGCCCGGCCTTTTTTTTTTTTTTTTTTTTTTTTTTTTTTGATACGGAGTTTTGCTCTTGTTACCCAGGCTGGAGTGCAATGGCGCGATCTCAGCTCACCGCAACCTCCGCCTCCTGGGTTCAGGCAATTCTCCTGCCTCAGCCTCCTGAGTAGCTGGGATTACAGGCACATGCCACCATGCCCAGCTAATGTTTTGTATTTTTAGTGGAGACGGGGTTTCACCATGTTGACCAGGATGGTCTCGATCTCTCGACCTCGTGATCCACCCGCCTCGGCCTCCCAAAGTGCTGGGATTACAGGCTTGAGCCACCGCGCCCGGCCCTTTTTCTTTTCTTTTTATTTTTTTAGAGATGGGGACTCGTTATGTTCATAGCCAAGATATAACAAATCCTAATCCTAACCCTATACTCTCCTTGCAACAAAGCAGAGTTAAAAATGTTTTAATTTAAAAATACACATATTTTTTAGAGAAAGTCTCACTCTGTTGACCAGGCTAGAGTGCAGTGGTGCATTCATAGCTCACTACAGCTTCAAACGCCTGGGCTCAAGCAATCCTCCCCTCTTGGCCTCCTGCGTAGCCAAGACAACAGGCATGTGCCACCACACCTGGCTAATTTTGTTCTTAATTTTTTGTAGTGTTGTCCAGTCTGATCTCAAACTCCTGACCTCAAGCAATCTATCTGCTTTGACCTCCCAAAGTGCTGGGATTACAGGTGAGAGCCACTGTGCCCGGCCTCAGAGTTAAAATTATATCTTCTTGATTGTTGTGGATGGAATTGTGTTCCCTTCCAAAATTCATGTATTGAAGTCCTAATCCACAATGTGACTGTATTTGGTGATAGGGCCTTTAGGGAGGTAATTATGGCTAAATAAGTTCCTAAGAGTGGGGCCCTAAGCCAATAGAAGTGGTGTCCTTGTAAGAACAGGGAGAGACATAAGAGACATCTCTGTGGGCACAGAGGAAAAGCAAGGTAAGGACAGAAAGAAAAGGCAGCCATCTGCAAACCGGGAAGAGAGCCCTCACCATACCGGCCCTGCCAATGCCTCAGTATTGGACTTCTGGCCCGCAGAACTGTCAGAAAATACATTTCTGTTGTATAAGTCACCAAGTCCATGGTATTTTGTTACGGCAGCCAGAGCAGCCTAATACACTCACTAAACTGCAAACTCCTTGAAAACAGGACTTTACCTTATTTGCGTCTGAATCTCCAACACTTGTACACAGTAGGCATTTAATAAACACTGATTGAACTGTTTCAAGAAATAAACCCCATTATAACATTTCTAAGAACACACTCTGCTTCCCCATGAGAGAAAACCACCACTTTCAGTGCAGGGCATCACACGTAATACACATGGTTTTCTAACGGTTAGAGCACAACTCATGAAGCACACACGGTATTCAGGCAGATTTTGATCATGATGTGAATTTTACTCATGATCGGAATGCTCATAAAAAATTTCCATTAAAACTTGTTCTCATTGAAAAACGAGTCATAATCCTCCAAATTGTTTTTATAGTGGGGTTCTATTTAAATGAACACATTGCTAAAAATTATATTCCCAGTCTTACCCCACCAACTGAGTTTCGGTCTCTGAAGTGAAATAGCAGATGGCAAGAAATGCCTTGACGACAGCCAGCCCTACGTGCTCACCACCCCAACCCTTTCCTCTCTCAGCTCCTTGGTCATTTTGTGTATTCTTCATCTCTGTTGGTGGATGACTGACTGGGATATTTGAGGTTGGGAAGTGTAAGGAAAGTAGAAGGGTAATTGCTGCTAGCTGACAAAACAGTCTAGCTCAGAATAATTTAGTGTTGGCTCAGTGAGCCTTCCCCAGCGCAGAGAGAAGACCACACAGTTGATATCTCAGAGAGCCATGCAGACGAGGTAGGCATTTGCACAGCAGGGTAAATCGGAGGGCAACTTCTCTCTGTGTCAACCCAATTCTAGGACCAGAGGCTCTTTGCCCAGACATGCCAAACATTTTTCATTATCTTTTTCTTGAAACAGGGTCTTGCTCTATTGCCCAAACTGGAGTGCAGTGGTGCAATCATAGACCATTGCAGCCTCAACTTCCTGGACTCAAGTGATCCTCCCACCTCAACCTCCTGAGTAGCTGGGACTACAGGTGCTCACCACCACGCCCAGCTAATTTTTATTGTCACTGTTTATTTCTTATAGAGATGGGGTCTCGCCATGTTGTCCAGGCTGGTCTCGAACTCCTGGGCTCAAGTGATCCTCCTGCCTCAGCCTCCTAAAGTCCTGGGATTACAGGCATCAGCCACCACATCTGGCCAGGAATCATTTTTCTTACACAGCACATCCATTTGCAGGGATGCATGTTTACCTGGCAGTGACAGGCTGGGATGGAAGGAGAGCTCATCCTGATAGCCCCCGGTGGTACCTGGAGTGCTCAGTTACACTGCAGCAGAAACCTCAGTGGGAACAGAGTGCAAAGACGGCCGAGGAGGTAACGGCACCATGACTGGTCAGCATTACTGGCAGCATCACAGAGCATCTTCCTTCCTCTCTTCCTTCTCATGAAAGAGATGTCTAGGAAGAAAGAAATAAGTTAGACTGTGAGAATACCGTGGTGTAGACCCTTGAGGCCAAAGCACCTTTCCTTCCAGCCTAGCTTTGGAGCCTTGCAATCAGCTTGGGAGGCTGATAAGGATAATGTCATTGCCCTTTTTTAAGAGGGAGAAACCTAAGGATTCATAACCACGCCAGGCTCCGAGCCACTGTGATGCACAGCCCGAAAGTGTCCACCATCTGCATTTGCTCCAGTGTGTCCAGTGCTCCCTGGGTCCTGCAGGACTGTAGTGCCCAGAAACTTATCTGGATCCTAATTCACAGTGCTGGCCAGGCAGAAATCCAGGTCACCTGACTTCTGACCACAAGCTGAGACGGGAAGAAAAAGAGGAAGAAGAGGAAGGAGGAAGAGGAGGAAGGAGGAGGGAGAAGAAGGAAGAGGGAGGCAAAGAAAGAGGGAGGAGGAGGAAGAGGGAGGAGGGGGGAGGAAGGAGGAGGGGGGAGGAGGAGGAAGAGGGAGGAGGGGGGAGGAAGGAGGAGGGAGGAGGAGGAGGAAGAGGGAGGACAGGGGAGGAGGAGGAAGAAGGGGGAGGGGAAGAAGGGGGAGGAGTAGTAGTCTGGAAATCACTGTTCTGCCAAACCCCTCAACTTTGCAGTTTAGTAAGTGGTTGCTGGAGAGCCTGTGAGGCAGGCCAACTTTCACAACCGGTCCGAGAAGCCCTGTAGCCCAGCGTGCCTGATCTTAGCCCAGAGGTCTCTCCACTATACTCTGGGGCCTAATCCTATTTTTAAGACTTTACTTTTTATAGTCTCTCTACACTTAAATTTTCCAATCTAGTCTGCCTCTAACCTTTCCTATTTAAGGAATTAAAGTCACCATATTGCCGGGAATATTTTTTAAGACTTGTTTAGGCTGGGTGCGGTGGCTCACGCTTGTGAACCCAGCCCTTTGGGAGGTTGAGGCAGGCAGATCACCTGAGGTCAGGAGTTCATGATCAGCCTGGCCAACATGGTGAAACCCCATCTCTACTAAAAATACAAAAATTAGCCAGGTGTGGTGGCATGTGCCTGTCTGTAATCCCAGGTACTCGGAGGCTGAGGCAGGAGAATCGCTCCAGGAGGAGGAGGTCGCGGTGAGCTGAGATCGCACCACTGCACTCTGGCCTGGGCAACAGAGTGAGGCTCTGTCTCAGAAAAGAAAAGAAAAAAAAAAGACTAGTTTAATTTCTCATTGTGACTTTGTCACTGCGTGCTTTCTGCATGTGAAGATGTCCACAGGGACTGATCAAACCAGTCCTGCCTGTTCAAAGAGCTCTGCCACTAAAAAAATGATGACCCTGAAACCACCTTTGCAAAAATTATAACCGTAAGAAAAGTATGACTGTGAGAAATCTCACCTAACTGATCCCATCCTGCTTCTAAACTCTAAGCTGCCCTTGTTCATTCCTGGGCATAGGCTGAACTGACTATGGGAGGAACTTAGTTTATAGTTTAACTTTGAAATAAAGACAGTAACAGCCCTTTCCCTAAACAAACCCACTTCTTGCTGGGGACCAGAATGCCTTTGTGAGACTAACAAGCTAGGCCCAGATTCAACGTTATGGTTTAGGAGTCAGGCAGCTAGAGGCCACAAGATTCTGTACCTCCCCAGTCGCTCCTAAGGATAACATCACTATTGTAAAATCTAATAATTGGGGCTCAAGATCTTTTTCAGACCCTGGAGCATTTTGATGCATCAGCTGGTGCCACCCAGACAGGTAATCCAGCTCAACCAGTTCTGTGATCCCACCCAGAAACAGAAGACAGCAAAAACAACCTGCTTCAACTTCCTGTGACTTCATCCTCCGACCTGACCAGTCAGCAGCTCCCCACTCCCTGGTCCCCGACACCCCAAATTATCCTTATAAAATCCCCATTCTCTGAATTTTCAGGAAGACTGATTTGAGTCCTAAAACTCTGGTCTCTCGTTTAGCTGGCTCTGCATGAATTAAACTCTTTCCCCATTGCAATTCCCCTGTCTTGATAAATTGAATTAAACTCTTTCCCCATTGCAATTCCCCTGTCTTGATAAATTGGCTCTGTCTGGGCAGCAGGCAAAGAGAACCCTCTGGGCAGTTACAGTCACAACTGGGCTCATTTTATAACCTGTTTAGTCTTAACCCAAAATGGGGGTATTTTCTTTTACATGCTTATCGCCTTCCTTCTAATTTTAAAACAGTATGTGTTCATTGAAGAAAATTCGGAAAATCCACACATACAACTACTACTAAAAATTAACCCCATTCAACATTTGGGATATTCCATTAGTCTTTTTTTCAATGTCTTACACTACTCATTTTTAAAATTGAGATGGCATTTTATAATCTTTTGGTATGCTTACTTTCTACCTTTTTTCATGCAATAGCATATTGTAAACATTTTCTCATGTCAGTATATACTCAAAAGTATGACTTTAGTATCACTAGCTGGAGTTATCATGATTGATTGATTGATATTTTTGAGACAGGGTCTCACCCTGTCACCCAGGCTGGAGTACAGCAGCGAGATCACAACTCACTGCAGCCTCAGTCTCCTGGGCTTAAGTGAGCCTCCCAGGTAGCTGGGACTAGAGGCACATGCCACCATGTCAGCTACGTTTTTATATTTTGTGTAGAGATGGGGTTTTGTCATGTTGCCCGGATGGTCTCAAACTCTTGGACTCAAGTGATCCTCCTGCCTTGGCTTCCCACGGTGCTGGGATTACAGGCGTGAGCCACTGTGCCCAGCTTTCCTTATTTATTTATGTATTTTTTGAGACGGAGTTTCGCCCTTGTTACCCAGGCTGGAGTGCAATGGCGCGATCTTGGCTCACCGCAACCTCCGCCTCCTGGGCTCAGGCAATTCTCCTGCCTCAGCCTCCTGAGTAGCTGGGATTACAGGCATGCACCACCATGCCCAGCTAATTTTTTGCACTTTTAGTAGAGACAGGGTTTCACCATGTTGACCAGGATGGTCTCGATCTCTCGACCTTGTGATCCACCCGCCTCGGCCTCCCAAAGTGCTGGGATTACAGGCTTGAGCCACCGCGCCCGGCTCCTTATTTATTTTTAACAATCCCCCAGCCTTGGACATACCATTTGCTTCTGATTTTTCATCTCTATTTTTAAAAACAAAGCGCAGTAATGAATTTGTATGGATGCAAATTTTGTGCATATCTCCAATTACTCCCCTAGGACATATTTCTAAAAGTGGAATTGTTAGACCAAAGGGTATAAACATTCTTCAAGATTTAAATGTGTATTAACAAATTGTCATCCAAAATAACCATGCCAATTATATTAATATCAACATCAACAGTATATAATTTTTTTTCACAGCATATATATGCTTCTTTTTTTACACATCTTCAGTTTCTTAAATTCCCAAATGTAATAGGTGATAAAAGATACCCTGTTTTAATTTGTATTTATTTGATCGTTAATAAGGTTGGACATTCTTTTATGTTAACAGTTACTTGTATTTTTCAATGGATTTTTTTATACTCTCTGTTCATTTCTTTCATTGAATTGCAAGAAATAATTGTAAACATGACACTTGGTCATATATGTTACAAATTATTTTTCCTCAGAACTGGAGTATTTTATCAAAAACATGAAAGGATGCTGTTTGGAGTTTTCATAAAAACACTTCCTTGTTGATAAGGTCCGACCATCCTCTGCTAATCATTAAGATTTAGAGCTTTAAAAAATCACGCAGATACTGCAAACCACCCCCTTGTTTTTCCAGGTGAGCAAATTAACTCAGGACTAGTCCAAGGTTACATACTTAGTAACAAAGGCAGCAGCAGAGCCTGGATTGCCCCGGTCCAAGTTGGCGCTATATCTAGCCCTCCTCTGCCCCACCCAACATACACACACACCAGCTCATTGTCAACAGTCTGTCTATGTGTGAAGTTCACACGCCCATTTGTGAGGCTGTTAGGACTTTGGGAACATTTATTAATGGCTTTTATGTCACCAGAAGCAACCACACAATCAACTGCATTGTCAGTAATGATACTTATTAAAAACCTTAAAAGATGGATTCTTTTTATTTATCAAAGGATGGATCTTATTTATCAAATAACGGATGTTTGTTTATTAAAGCATCATCTACCCAATGCCAAACCCATAACCAAAACAACACAAACACATAGGAATGAGTTGTTTTCAGAAATATTGTCTCTGTTTTCACTCTCTTCTGTGAAACAGAGTGGCTCATGGCCATCATCATGATCAATAAACACTTCTATTGATGAAGAACGTGACACTTTGCCATTATGGGTAAAGATCGCTGATGTCAGAGGGGGAAATTCAGGCATGTCCTTTCATCAGAACAAAGAACAGAAGTGAGCTGGTCCATTCAAGAGTGCAGCGCTCTCAGCCAAGTCCTCCAGAAGGGGCTGAAATACGGTCTCAGGCTCCAGCCCCTCCCCAGCGCACGAGTGTTGCTATGGAACCCCACTCCCTGTCTCCCTGCTGCTGTCTCTGAGATGATGCTAGTGCCTCACGCAGTTTCTTCCCTATGGCTCTCCTCCTGCCTTCCTGCAGTTCTTCCGTCTCCCTTGCTGGATCTCTTCTTCCACTGCCCTTGTGCCTCAGAGTTCCGCCAGGATCCATTCTTTTTTTTGAGACAGGGTCTCACTCTGTTGCCCAGGCTGGAGTGCAGTGGTGCCATCTCTGCTCACTGCAGCCTCCGCATCCCGGGTTCAAGCAATTCTCCTGCTTCAGCCTCCCAAGTAGCTGGGACTACAGGTGTCCACCACCATGCCCAGCTAATTTTTCTGTATTTTTAGTAGAGATGGGGTTCTGCCATGTTGGCCAGGCTGCAGACCCCATTGTTGACCCTATTCCCTTCCTACTCCACAGATTCTCCTTGGGTGGTCTTGTCCAATCCCCCCATTTCAAAACGTCACCATTTGCTGATGAAATCCAAATGCATAGCTTTAGCTTACACATCTCCCCAGCGTATCAGAGCCATATAACCAACAGCCTCAGCTATCT